GTTACTGGGTTTCACCATGTTGCCCAGGCTGGTCTTGCACTCCTGGGCTCAAGCCATCAGTCCACCTTGGGATCCCAGAGTTGAGATTATAGGCATGACCAACACACCCAGCCCATTCTATTTTAAAAATTAAAAATAAGTTGCAATCTTTTGGTGCCTTATTGTAGACACACACAAGTTACCCTTGAATAACATGAGCTTTAATGGCATGGGTCCACTTACACAGTTTTTTTTTTTTTTTTTTGCGCCACCAACCAAACGTGGAGTAAAAACAGTATTCAAAGGATGAGGCACCCATATATAGTAAGGGCTGCCTTTTCCTATATATGGATTCCACAGGACTTGAGTATGAATGGATTCTGGTATAGGTGGATCTGTAACTAAACCCTGCATATTCTGAGGGACTGTACATTAAATATTGATGCCCTTATTTCCTCTTACTGATGTGCTAATATAGCTTGTTTCCATAACTCTCTAAAACAACTGCCTCAAAACCCATCAGTAGTGCCTCAATAAACTATGTGAGTTATTAACTCATTTAACTTCAATCATCTTTTATTTCCAGCCACATTTGAAGCTATTTACTAAAGAATCCCTTGCAACAACATCTCCACATCCTAAGATATTTTTATGTACTTAACTACCCTTCTATAGGCTCCACAGACATGAGAAGTCTTTTCATCACTGTACTCTTGAGCAATTACCACACTGCCTGACTTAAAAAAAATGCACCAGTAATATACTTGGAATGAAATATAGGCATTTAAAATATGAGTATCGTAACCTTAAGAGAGTAAACGGTTATTTTTCAAGGGGAACGTACTATAGAGTCACTTTTCTACACTTACTAGTTCATATGAGCTTTCAACAGCTAACAAGAGAGATTAGTGTAACATATATTGGCAGATCACAAGGTCAGGAGATCGAGACCATCCTGGCTAACATGGTGAAACCCCATCTTCATTAAAAATACAGAAAATAGCTAGGTGTGGTGGCATGTGCTTATAGTCCCAGCTAGTCAGGAGGCTAAGGCCAGAGAATTGCTTGAACCTGGGAAACGGAGGTTGTACTGAGCCGAGATTGCACCATTGCACTCTAGCCTTGGCAACAAAGCAAGACTCCGTCTCAAAAACAAACAAAAAAACCCAAAAAGCTTGTAAAAGTCAAGGTCATTTAACATGCTAAGATGTGATGCTGAAGATATTACAACTAGGCTGGGCTCAGTGGCTCATGTCTGTCATCCCAGCACTTTGGGAGGCTGAGATGGGCAGAAGAGCTCAGCTTAGGAGTTTGAGACCAGCCTGGGCAACATGGAAAAACGCCATCTCTACCAAAAGAAAAAAGAAAAAGAAAAAGAAAAAGGAGAAATTAGCCAGGTGTAGCAGTACATGCCTGTAGTCCCCGCTACTCAGGAGGCTGAGGTGGGAGGATGGCTTGAGCAGGCTGTAGTAAGCTGAGATCACACCACTGCACTCCAGCAGCATGGGCAACAGAGCAAGACCCTGTTGGGGGGCAGGGACAGAAGCAACCACAACCCACAACAATTATCTCTGTTATGATATATTACAAGTACCTGGATTCAGAGAAATACTTCACTTCTACTTTTCACTAGTCATAGTAAAGTCATCCATATTAAAATGAGAGTCCTAGTAAGACTTAATACATAAAGAAAAACATACAGGCTCTCTTTTTTAAGAGTTCAGTAAAAGGAAACACATATAAACTGTAGTAATCATATGATGCAGAGGTTAAACTAAACTATAAGAGCACTGTTGTGGAAGATTAATACTGCAAGCAGTACCAACACTTAAGAGTAAACTTTGAATTGTGTCTTGAAGAAAGAAAAAGAAGCTCCTCAAGGTGGAAATGGAAGACATGGGAAAGCACCAGGCAGAAAGGATTTTGAGCAAAAACATGGACACACAAAGAAAATGGTATGCTGAGGCAATTAGTTTTCTAACTTTCGAAGTGGCAAATGACACATGTAGATAAACCAGACCAAATAGTAAAGATTGCACCACTGTACTCCAGCCTGGGCAACAAGAGTAAAACTCCATCTCAAAAAAACAACCCTCTTCCCCCCACCCCCCAAAAAAGAGTCGAGTGGTGGAGGGGTATGTAAAGTGAGGTTCAAACTAGCTGAAGTAACTGACCACAACTGGAATAACCTAGTTCTGAATGTCAACCCTAAAAGGTTCTGACTAGAACTAGAATACAATTAGGCCAATTAGGATTGAGTTGGAAAATTAAGAAAAATGAAGAATGGCTGAAATAGTTGGTGATGATTAACCTAGAGTAATGGCTTTCATACTGTCATCTGCACAACTGTGGATGCTATAAGACCCTTTTATGGGGTCCATAAGGTCAAAATTATTTTCAAAATAATAACAAAATATTATCGCCTTTTCCACTGGGTTGACGTTTGCACCAACGTCGCAAAAGCCATTGTGGTTTTGTAAAAGTACTGGCAACTTTTCAACACAAATCAAGGTAGAGGCTATGGAACTGCCCTAGAGTCACTACCTTCTTCAATGGCATTTCTGTATGCACTTGCAATAAAAGAAAAAAATAATTTCACTTTATAAGAATGTCTTTGATGAGGCAGTAAAAGTTAATTTTATTAAACCTGGTCCCCTAAGTACTACTGAAAGAACAGCAGTATTAAATCTAGCCTCTTGAATAATATTCTGTGTGATGAAATGGAAAGTATGCATAAATCAATTCTGATGCTTATGAAGTATAAAGGCTACATTAAGGAAGACACCTGTGTGAGTTATGAGCTGAACTAATTGCCTTTTCATTATCACCTTTGAGAACCTACAATCTACGATTATCGAGACTTGGGTATTTGGCAGACAATTTTTTGAAAAATGAATGAAGCCTACTATATAAAGAAAATGAATTTGTTGCCGATAAAAATCTGAGAAAATTAAATTTTGGAAAATGACTCCACTGTTGTGAACTTGCCAGTTTTCTAGTACTTTCATTTTACTGATGAGATCTAAGGTGAGATTACTAGATATAATTTTTTTATACTGTATAACAAATGTAAGTCAGTATCTGGAAACTTGAATAATGCAATCAATCATTTTTCAAATCACCAATGCTTGCTTTCACAAAATCACACCGGGGGATAAAAGCTCCATTCAATATCCATGATCAACAGATTTTAATGTAACAGAATATATAAAGTACATCAATCTGGTTTCACATTCTATACTACAACTACCTTTACAGAAACAATCACTTGTCAAATTTGGCATCACATCAAAGAATAGTGATCACAATTATCTCAAAATCTATAAAATTACCTTTCCCTTTTCTAACTACATTACTTGAAGCCAGATTTTCTAAATATACTAACCAAAACAGATTTGAGTAAGTTGAACGCAGAATCTTCGCGTCTTCAATTAAGCTAAACTTTAAAGAGTTCTGCAAAGTAAAACAAAGCCACTCTCCTCACCAGATTTTTTTCTGAGAAAGTTTTGTTTCAAAACTATGTTACCAAAATTGGGTTTACTATTATTTCAACAGTTTTAATTTTTTATATGGTCAACATTGACAGATATGTCTCACATAAACAAAAGTTCTTGGGATTCTCACACATGACATTTTTTTTTTTTTTTTGGGATGGAGTTTCGCTCTTGTTACCCAGGCTGGAGTGCAATGGCGTGATCTCGGTTCACAGCAACCTCCGCCTCCTGGGTTCAGGCAATTCTCCTGCCTCAGCCTCCAGAGTAGCTGGGATTACAGGCACACGCCACCATGCCCAGCTAATGTTTTGTATTTTTAGTAGAGACGGGGTTTCACCGTGTTGACCAGGATTGTCTCGATCTCTTGACCTCGTGATCCACCCGCCTCGGCCTCCCAAAGTGCTGGGATTACAGGCTTGAGCCACCGCGCCTGGCAACATTTCTTAATATGAAACACTTCGTAAATGTGCATGTCACTCTTGCACAGTGGCTATACTAAACTGCTCTGTATCATTACCATTTTAGGACATGTGCAGCTGAATTGAGCGCAATTTTTTTTTATAAGCGAACAGAGGTTCCAAGATCAGTGAGTCTGAGAGCCACTGACATAGAAAGAACCCTACATATTATAGTGATATCGTATGAAAATAAGAACTGATTCAGTCTTACCCTAGGCAAACAGAAGAATGACATTGTCAACTGCTTTTCAGTAATACAAAGAACAATCTCAAAAAGAACAGCAAGTTGTCATTTGCAAATACTCATGCATTAGATGGATAATCTGTGGGTTACACAGATAATCTTCCAATTTAAAAGTCCCAAGAGTCTAGTGAAAAAGTCACATGTAGAACTTAAGCCAAAAGTTTCAATTCTAGTGTTTTTTCCATAGTATTAACTCATTTTGTTGCTCTAGTCCCAATGCTTTCCTACCACCTCTGAATTTTTTTGGGTTTTAAAGTATAAATTATTTATTTTGTCTGTACCTTTCTCACGCTATCCATGTATGAACACCTAGTCACACACTCTAACAACAGAGGTTACAAAAACACTTTAACCAGAGGCCAAGAGATTAACAGCAAATTTAAAAAGATGTGACATATATATATTACCTTTGTCTAAGGTATAACTGACTAAAGAGCAATCTAACCTGTGTCTAGAAGATGAGGGAGTCCTCCTCCTCCTAGAACGTGATCTTGATCTTGAATGTCTTCTTTTTTCTTCTTTCTTATCTATATTTGAAACAAAAGGAACTTGCACTTAGAAATCATTTAAATAGGGGACAGATGCAGTGGGTCATGCCTGTAATTATAGTACTTTGGGAGGCTGAAGTGGGAGGAGCACCTGAATCCAGGAGTTCAAGACCAGCCTGAGCAATATAGTGAGACCCCCATCTCTACAAAAAATACAAAAATTAGCTGAGCATGGTGGTATGCCTGTGGTCCCAGCCAATAGGGGAGGCTGAGCTGGGAGAATTGCTTGAGCCTGGGAAATGGAGGGTGCAGTGAGCCGTGATTATACCACTGCACTCCAGCCTAAGCTGGACCCTCAAAAAAAAAAAAATCATCAAATAGGAAAATAATTCCCATTCAGAAGTTATAATAATAATTGTTCACCTTAGTCTTCAGCTTTTACATATAACCCCTGAATGCTGCAAGTAACCATTTTATGATCATGATTTTGAAGCTTCCTGAAATACTACAAATTATAAATCATCTAGGCGTTTGATAGATCCAAATTAGACTTCTAGTTCTCAGCTAGCTAAAGGTTCCCTATTTTACTTGCCAGACCTAGAAGGCTGTGTTTTCTATAAAGCAATCTATTAAGAGGGCTAATTTCTCATTCTTTGGTTCTGATTTATTTTTGACAGGGTTTTAAATGAGGGTCCCCTTTCCTTTTCTTGGTTCTTCACAAACTCAATATTTGGCCCCCAAATCCAGGAGTCATGATTGACTCACTGATTTTAGTTCACTCCTGTGACAGCATCAGATTTTTAGTAACCTAGCTCACTTCCTATTATCTGCTCATCACTCGTCTTCCCTACCAATTTTCAACTGTGTAAGCATAGAAAGGAGATCTAGAACTCAACAGCTTTAATCCCCAGAATTTAAAAAACATGTAAGAAATTCCTTAACTGGGGACATAAGAGAAATAAAGCCATTGTATTCTACATTTATTGATTATCATCAAAGTGAGAATGCGTTCCTTTGACATTTAAGTCATTTCATTAATACAGTTCAATTTATTCCAACAGTCATTATCAGTAATAAATTCATAAAAATCTTGGTAAAAACATCAATTCATAAAGAAATTACATTTAGTCATTTTAGTCATGTATTTTCAATAAAAACAGCAGTTAGAACATGGTGTGTCCTAACTTTCAAGTTACATAGATCCAACTGTGTTACCTAAAAGCTCCTAATGCTCGCCATGTGACTGTGGCCAATTACTTGACATTTTATTGGTTAAATAACGTAATATATATAAAGCATTTGGTATCAGTTTATCCACTATTACACTTCAAATTATTTTCCTAATACTAGGCATATTAAAAAACATTCCCATTAAATGAATTAAGACATTTATTTATAAGAAAGAAAATTCAAGGCCACAGATTTAAATATATATGGGCAGATAACACATCTGTTCATTTAGTCTCAAAAAGACAATCTGCAAAGAATAGGGCAACTGATTTTCTTTGAAAAATAAATAAATAAATAAATAACATTAAACAAAAGCATTTTCACTAGGTTCTCTTGATCAATGAAAAAATTTAAAATGAGGCTATCCCAACTTAAACATAAATAATAACAAAAACAAAATATTGCTGGTGGGCAGAGGGGTAAAAGTATTCTTTATATTGTTTATGAAAAGACAGTGTCAGAATGAATATGAAAATGTATCTATGTGACAGACCTGGAGCAACTACTATCTGCTGCTGAGGTTTCCACTACAGATGTAAGAAAAACATGTCCTTGTGCTTTCCGTCTGTCTAATTGTGGCAGCTGAGATTGAATAGAGGAATACAGGGTAAAAACGGGAAGAGAATACTTGAGACAGCTTGGTTACCAGGCTTGGAGTGCAGTGGTACAAGTGGCTCACTGCATCTGCGTCCTGGGCTCAAGCCATCTTCCCACCTCAGCCTCACTAGTTGTTGGGACTACTGGCATACACCCCTATGCCCACCTAATTTTTGTAGAGACCTGGTCTCGCTTATTTGTCCACGCTGGTCTCAACTCCTGAGCTCAAGATCTGCCCACCTCGGCCTCCTAAAGTGCAAGCCCAGCCTGGGAAGAGAAACAGTCCCTACCACCCTTACCTCATTGATTACATTTGTTAAAGGTTAGAGGCAAGCCAGTGACTCTGGTCTGCTTGAACATGTGAATCTCGTGATTGAGCAATCTGGAGTTTGTCCTAGTGTCCAAAATCTGAGCCAGACACATCGTGTGAATATCCCCCAAACCCCCGTGATTTGAAATACATACTGGGAACTTCAAAAAAACAAAATATTATATCAAGTATTAGATAATCCTGACATTTTGGACTAGATTGCTGTAGAAGGCGGTCCTGTTTGTTGAAGGGTATCCAGCATCATGTTGGTCCTTTGCCCTCTAGATGCAGTTGGTACTCCCGTGACCACCGGAATTATCTCCAAATATGTCTGGGTGGCATTCCACTATACGGTCTTTTATCAGAATTTGGAAGATGATATTTTTTTTCAGGCAGAGTCTCTTTCTGTTGCCCCTGCTAGAGTGTTGTGGCATGATCTCAGCTAACTGCAAAACCTCTGCCTCCCAGGTTCAAGCGATTTTTCTGCCTCAGCCTCCAGAGTGGCTGGGGTCACAAGAACCTGCCACCATACCTGGATAATTTTTGTATTTTTAGTGGAGACGGGGTTTCACCATGTTGGCCTCGCTGGTCTTGAATTCCTGATCCACCTGCCTCAGCCTCCCAAAGTGCTGGATTACAGGCATGAGCCACTGTGCCTGGCACAGAATTTAAAACATTTTAAATGACTTAGGGTGTCACTCAACACATTTCCACACTATGTCATAACCATTTTTGCCAAGAATCACATAGTTTAATATTCAACAAAATTGCATAAACCTTGTTTACCTGGTTCTATAGCAGCAGAAATTAGGGACTGTGCTTCTCGTACTCTTTTCATAGCTTCCTCTATTTCTTTACTAGAGGTATCCGATTTCAAACTTGGAGAAACCAGACCAGCAGCTACATGATTCAACCTGAAACAGAATCAAGAATTCGGATCTGAAATATTTTAAAATGCACACCAGCATTTCAAATAAATAAATGTATAACATCATTTTAGTAAAATATTTCTTCAAAAAAAGGAGGGGAGGATTCCATGATAACTGTGGTAAACAATACACAGTATAGCACTGTTTTGAATATTTATAAATATTTCGGGTTTAATGACTACGAGTCATGTAGAATTAGAAAAATATCTATTTTGCTGAACACCCATTAACTTTCCATAAACAGACTTTTTAGAAATGCTAGTACAGAAAATATGCTGATGCTAAAAACTTAATGAAACTTTTTTTCACATAATCTAAAATTTTTCTATGACATAGTAACTTTGTGGGGGAAGAACATTACCTTTTGCTTGGTAGGTGGGGAGGAACTGAGGCAGAGGCCAATGGCCCACCAAAATTACACATGAAATCTTGAGTGGAAAGGCTAAAGATGCCCCTTACAGGTTTACACATGTAAGAAAAAAATTATAGACACTAAATTTAGTATAGTAGTTATTTGCGGGCAGAATGGGAAATGTAATAAATGGGTATATAGGAAGTTTCAGCTGTATTGGTATTATTTTATTTTATAAGCTGGGTGGTGGGTACATGCTTGGTTTTTATTTTTAGATAATTTCTAAGAAAAAAGGCCACTAACTTCTGAATTCAAATGATTCTGTCCTTCATGCTTTCTCACTTATTGATAGTGATTTTCACCAAGTTAAGGGGAAAAGGTATAAAGTTCAAATTTATTATGCCAAGAAATTACCAATGAAAAAAACTGAATTTCCAACATTATCAAGTAGGAAACAATTTCTGTGACAGCATGAAGAGCACTTATCAAAAGCAACCTAAAAGAAAATGTTGGCTATTAATTATATAATATGTAATACTGGCTCTAGGATAGTGATTCCCTCAGCTTTGCCTCTAACTACTATTATCCTCAGGGCTCAGCCTCCGATCTTCAAACAAAGTTATCCCCTTATTAGTTCTTTTGCTATCTTCCGGTATAAGCCATTTACAATTACTATTCAAGACTCAAATGACATTAACACAAAGTATTTTATAGAGGAGCTTACTTCTGTATTTCTTTCTTTGTTTCAAGAAAACAATATGCATTGCTTGAGAATACAATTGTCTTTTGAGAAAAGGTAACTTGATAACTTTCGTGTAAGCTATCAAAACAAACAAAAAAACCAAAAAAACAAAAAAACTCCCTTTCTCTAGACATTCAGATACCATATCCTCAATGGAAACAAAGAAAAAACCCTTACTTGGGATCAACAGTACTCATAAGCTTCAGCAACTGATCTGCGGCAAGAGACTGCAAAAAATAAAACGTAAGAACAATGAGAATAATAAAACAATAAATGATTGTTATTTTCTCAGTTATGTTGAAATGTCCTGGGACAAACTGTCAAACCTACAAGTATGCTGTAGGCACAAAGCTGACCAACAGAAATCCATGCAAGCTACATGCCATGAAGCATTAAATTTTTTAGTAGTCAAAAAAAGAAGAAAAAGAAGAAACAGGTGACATTAATGGCCACAGTACTGGATAGAGCAGCTTTAGGAAGTTATCTAAAGACTACGAGGCTAAACAGTCCAGATATTATAGAATGATTATGTCTCCTTTAAGACTTTTTGACATAAAATAACATGTAAAATGCAAAACAGCTTAGCCAATATAATACAAAGATCTACAAAGAACTTCAGAAAAAAAGATTAGCCAAATTATAATAAAAAAAATTCCCATGACAGAAAAATCATAAACCATATTCTTGTCTTTTCATGAGTATTTACTCTGACTCTATGACATACTAAAAATGTACTGGCTTCCTGTGAACCTATTTTCTATATGAACTATATAAAAGAAGTCCATTAATGGATAAGGAGTTAGTTTTTCAGTGACTGTTTAAAGCTCTAACAAGTTTAAGAAAAAATTATTACTGTAACATAGCCATTAGCTCCTGCTCTTGAAAAGCAAACCAACAGTTAATGAAACAAAAAAGTTGAAGGTAGTAAGTTATACCTGAGAGTTCAAGTTTGCTCCAGGAAGCCCAAGTGCAGCAAGGGCAGGATCAAGAGTAGGAGCCCCCAAAGCAGCCAGTGGAACAGCGCCAATCTGTGAAATTTCAAATTTTATTTAAAACTTCTTTTCAGTTCCTCATATCAGAGGTTAAGTTTTCAGGCTACATGGTCTCTGCTGCAGCTACTCAGTTGTATACAAATCCATACAACTACTGCCATTTTAGCTTGAAAGCAGCCAGACAATACGTAAACAAATGGCTGTGGTCCAATAACAATAGATTAACAGAAACAGGGGTCTTGTTCTATATGACACCCATGTTCCATTTATTACAGCACAGTTCCCCCCTAAATCCTAAATTAAGAAAAAAAGACAAAATATTTCAACATATTCTTGTACTAAGTATTTTTTGCCTCTCAGGATTCAAATCTACTATTCTTTGCCTGCTGCTTTGTGATACTGGAGGCAGGACCTTTATAAAGCATTTCTCCTTTGACAGCTGCCATGATGTAAGACTTATTTGGAAAGAGCACTGGAAAGACACTGACTAAGGAAGGGGCTCTTCCTGGCTCCTGTGTTGCCCTTCTGATTATTCCTGCAGCACGATGTCAAACACCCAGTAGCCTTCACCTCTCAGGGAGTTCTAGTACCAATTCCTTATGCAGCTCCCCAGGACACCCAAGAGAACTTCTTTACTAGTTGCCCTTCCAAAAACAAATCTAAATTTCAGCAGATGGAGAAAGGAGTACCCTGAATTAAATAGGTTTGTGTTCCTTCTCCTTTAGCCTTAGAGGTAGAGGTAGTTTCTTATCCTTGTGATTCTGTATTCATTAGAGTTCCCCTAGTAATCTCCTATCACTAATAAGTAATTCCTTAAATGTTTCCTGTTCAAATTACTGCAGGGTTCTGCCACCTGCTTGACACAATCCTGATTAACCTATAATTTACCAGACACAAACCATGAAAGTGAGCCTGCTTCAAAACCATCTGTAGCTTTTGAAACAGCCTCACTTTCTTCCCACTGTGTGCTACAAGTTCCTCGTTTCAATTTATTTAGTAAATATAAAGTATCAAACTTTCTATAATTTAGCTGTTTATTCAGTACAGGAAAAATGCTAATATTATCAAAACTTACTGTCCAATACAGCTATTGCATAGCTTTATGCATTTAAGGAGTTTAGAAAATTATCCAGATTTGGGCCAGTTGTGGTGGCTTACGTCTGTAATCCCAGCACTTTGGGAGGCCAAGGTGGGCGCATCACCTGAGGTCAGGAGTTCCAAGACCAGCCTGGTCACCATGGTGAAACCCTGTCTCTACTAAAAATACAAAAATTAGCTAGGCGCAGTGGCATGTGCTTGTAAATCCCAGCTACTCGGGAGGCTGAGGCAGGAGAATTGCTTGAAGCTAGAAGGAAGGGATTGTGGTAAGCTGAGCTGAAATTGCGCCATTGCACTCCAGCCTAAGTGACAGAGCGAGACTGTCTCCAAACAAAAAAACAAACAACCCAGATCCTCATTTTATAGGTTAAAAAAGCCAGGGAGTTAAGAGATAAAAGTCATACCCAAAAAGCTTAAGAACGCCTATTCTTTTATTCTATAGTTCACTTCACAGCTAAGAGTCAACTATTTACACAGGCAAAATGATATATTAGAAAGAATGCTTTTATAAATTTCCAGTTGATGCTCATCATTCACTATCTTTGAAACTCCTGACTAGTTACAATCTCAGTAGTTAGAATGCACAGCATTTAAAGTACCTTTTAGTTCTAAAACAAGCTTTATACAGCACTGTCAGTGTTAGAAACACTATTGCAACCAATTTTCTTTCACATTCCCATATCAAACATCTCCATCAAGAATTGCCCTTGTTTTCAAGCCACCTACTTAATTCAAAATCCCCCAAATAGCTGGAAAAGATCAAGGGGAAGAAAAAAAAAAATGAAGAGCTCACTTGTGAAATTTGAACCTCAGTTTTCTTTCCTGTTCCAAATGAACATATTTTTAACAGTGTGTTCAGAGAGGTGTTCATGCCTCATGAGACTGTTCTATAACTATTTACAGGTTATTCTGAGAGTCAATGGTAAAAGTGATGTATTTTATGATTTTTTAGACTTTTCTTAAAACTCAAAATTCTAAGAGATCCTCCATACTAGTTATGATTTTGATAGCACTATGTAATGCTGCACATATGTGATAATGGTATCTGAACTAGAATCTCATGAGTACTTACAAAGCTCAAATATGTGTAAATCCATAATTCAGTTTTTTTTCTCCACCCTTTAAGAACTCAATAGAACTAGTACCTGGGTAAGTGGGTTAGGAGTAGGCAGAAGTCCACCACCGGGCAGAAGACCTGCCACTGCATTAGCTGGTGCCAACAGAGACAAAGCCTTAGCCTCATCAGGAATAACTCCTGCAGAGAAACATCCTTGCATTAGAACACATTCTTTTGTAAGACAGAAAACACACAAAAACACCCAGAAAATGTCTCCCTGATACACCACCTGAGTTTGTTGAAAGTACTTATGTTCGCTAAAATATAAAGCTCGATTTCTATGATTATTTATCATTAATTTTATGTCAGAATGAAACTTCAATGTGTGAAAATTTGTTTCCTTTTTCTCTACAAATGGTTAAGTTTCTAGAGTAAAAAAAAATAGCACAATACACACTACTTTTTTGTTAACACTGCCAAGATTTCATCACCTGTACTCGATTTTTAAGTCATGAACCAAACGTAAGCAAGCACAGTCGGTTCTCCAGGGGTGTGCTCTCAACTTTCAAAAGCTGTTTTATGAACAACGACTCGTGTCGGCTGCTTCACTATAAAGCACACAGAAAAATCAAGATACACAAGACAAAAAAAGTTTGATTTAGGGGTTAATAATATGGTACAGTTACTATGATTTTCTTTTACACCTACCATACAAATTTGTAAAAATTAAGAGAAGAAAGTATGTAAAGGAAATATTCTGTTGGAATCAAGCGTAGGGCTTTTGCTGACTCATGAAAATGATTATGTTTCTGAAGGTCTCTGAATACACACAGGATGTGTGCATGAGAGTGAGAGAGAGAGAAAGATACGTAAAACAACATGGCACATTCCTTACCTGTACAGTAAAATGCTTTATGTTTCGCCATGTGCCATGCTAACCATACCAAAAAATGCTGCTATATAGTGCCAGTTGAAAAGCTAACGTAGCCAAACTCCTTAAGCCAAAAATGACATGTATATCTGTTTTTAAATCCTAATCTGTGTATTCAGATAAAATCTAAGGGTCCCTAGACAAATATTTATGTAGACAATTTAAATTCTATCCAACAGCAAAAGCCCTATACAGATGGATTAATCTGTTAATGTGCCCAAGCCCCCAAAATGAGAGTTCAATAATACAATTAAACTACATATTTGCAAATACCAGTAGTATTTCTGTAATACATATTAAGAAACTGCATCTCATCATAAAACATACAATATGTACAGGGCACTTAAGAGAAACTGGATAAGCTGCAGAAGAAAACTGTTGGGTGGTATTTTCAGCAGGGCCTGGTATATAGTTCAGGCTGAACCAGGGAAAAGAACTGTAAAACACAACAACAAAAAAGAAAAACCACTGTTAAATAAAGGTAATGGTTCCTTCCACCTATACTGAGAAGTGCCGATAATATAAACAAATGTATACTACACAGCACTGTTATCTTGCTTGTGTCAGAGCTGTCATCAATTTAGATACCAAGAGTTATGGAGGGGAAGGGGGAGAAGATCATTTAGATATAGGGCAGTAATGCATCAATATTAACAAACCTACAAAGACTATGGGATAATTTTGCATGCAAAATTATGTCTCAAGAGGATATATTCAGTATCAACATCTTACTCAAATTAGTGCATTTGCAACATTTCTGGCAAACTAAAATCCTCTTGAATTTATTGTGAGACACCTGATAGAAGATCTGCATCCATTAAAAAAAAAAAGTCATGCATCTGATCCTCTGATTAAAAAAAGACTATTTAAAAATAAAACTACAATTTAAAAATAGCAATGAGGCCCCTCACCAGTTAATTTTCATGCGTCAAGAGTATTTTTTTTACTGCTGCTTTGATAGAACCATGAAATACTGCATGAATGTGTAGAAATGAAAGAAAAAGAAACAGACAAAAGAAACAAACATTAACCAAGGAACCTAAATAATCCCCAAACCCATTACTATTAAGAGTTCCTTCCATATTAAGCTTAGTTTTACCAAGTAAGACTATTCCTTACCATAGACTGTGTCTACTGTTCTAAAACACTGACCAAGAGCTAACACCGAAGTGTAATAGCTAAATCTGGAGGGAATGGTATTTACTGGAGGTAACATTAATACAGCATATCATACCAGAATTCACCAACAATAGATTTCTGAATGAAATATTCCCCAAATTCTATACACTGTATATTCCTAAATACTTCACTTTCAAAAATAGGTCTAGAAAAATTACTATGGCCTGAAAATATTTATGAAAGCATTTATATGATATACTGTATTATGTTCAGGGATTGGGAACTAGAATACTTAGCTGATAAAAATTTAAATTTACAGGCTAACCAAAATGTTTTACATATTACTCACATGATTTGACCCTTGTTCCAAGACCTATCATCTATTTTATTCATCCTGAATTTGAATTCTGTAAATTTTCTGTTGATGGTAAGTCTTATCCTACAACAGGCACACTGACATAAAAGAAATTGCTTAACCAAAACACACTAACTCAAAAATTTATCTATCTATATATTATAAAACCTTAAAACTGGGCTCATACATTTTAATATCATGGAGACAGAGGTACTATTATATAACATGCCTTAATCCATTTATAAGTTAATTTCTTTAGAAAACCAGAGGCAATTTCTTTAAGTGTTAAGGACTACACATTTCACAACTTTTACAAGGTATGGTGTAAATATTCACATTTGTATTCACAGATTTCAGATAGCATCTAAAACCAACAATATTAAGATTCCACTTCCACTGACCAGTTTATTCAGGAAAGGGGAAAGCATTTAAATCCTGGTCAGCATATTAAATTATTAACTTAAAATCCAGCAATTTTATCATATTTCAGTGATTCGAGTAAAATTTATAGTTACCAAAAAGCAAATCAAGTAGCAGTACATTGGGAACAAACTAATTATAAAATATGCCTTAGAAAATTTTACAAAATGGTATTAAAATGTCTTGTCACAGTGGCTTTTTAGATCCAAAAAACCTGCTCATTTTTTCTGTCAAATTACTTTAACAGCCTAAAATGTAAAAAGAGAGAAAATGTAGTTAACAAATGGTTACACCAGGAAAACACTTGGGGCACTTGAGTGCTTGCTGGTCTTTAGTTAATGTCTACAATCCCCTGTAGCTGCAGAGGACCCACTGTTTTTCAGGCATCTGGAAGGGTTTTGCATTTGCCTTCTCCACTACAAAAATCACACACACAAATAACAGAGAGAAGAATTTATTATTTAGAGATATTCTAGAAATATAGCAAGAATGAACAAGAAAATCTGGCATAAAATAAAACACCCAGTGCCCATTTGGCACCTAAGCTACAGGAAATCTTGAACTTTCTTGAAAACCAAAATCACTGCAACCCTTGGTATACTGAAATTCAACGTGGGTTTTTTCTTTCCTCCAGATTATCAATGTGAGGAAGCTTTAAGAAAATAAAATCAATCTACTCACTTATTTAAAACAGAAATAACATCATGCATTTATATTTGAAGGCTCTGTATGCATACATGGAATGAATCATTTACCTTTAGGACTTTTTCATAAAACTCAACATTAAATTAACTAAGTAGATATATCTCAGGGAGTTACAATAACGGACATTGTTTTAAACAACTTAAAAATATTTTAAAAGAAAACAAAGGTAAATACTTTATAAAAACAGACCTAATTTCTAAAAAAAGATCTGCAAGCAAAAATTATGGACTGCAGTATAACAAGGGTTTAAAAATATTAATAGCTTAGATTTTAACATGCTACTATGGCTCACTCTACATCTACTGAGGTGGATGGTCATCTTAAGATGTCCACAAAGGTAGTTAAACAAAGCACAAACCTTCTGCATATGGTACGACTATCAAAGCTCTGTCAACGAATACAGTGTTTGTCAGATGCTGTGCCACAACTGCTGAGTCCGGATCATGGAACTTAACAAAGCAGACACGAGATGAGACTGGCAAAGGTGAATCACTAAAAAAATAAACAACATAAAAGAAGAGAAAAAAAAAGAATATCAGTTAAAACAAATGCTAATTCACAAACCAACACATTTCAAAAGTAAAACAAGACAGATAAAACCTAATTGTACACAAATGTAGTAAAAAATAAAGTTCAAAAGAAAACATTCTCAATAACATACTGTTCACTGAAATAATGCAGTGAATTGCAGTTGAGATAAAAACCTGTTAACTACAACTTACATTTACAGTGTATCATGTTAAAAAGTTTGATACTAAAGTCTCAGAGATTGAGGGGGCCACAAAATTGTCAACATTTTTTTTTCATAATACCAGTATCAGCTATTTTTAGATACAGTTAACAGTAGTCCGGGCTTAGAAACTTCCCTATGGCTGATTTTTCAGAGTAAGAAAGATGAACAATTTCTACTTCAAGGACAAAGGAATATCATGAGAAAGCACATGTATTCAATAATCAATCAGTTTTCTTGAACTGCATAATAAACAGTCCCATGCCCTACACTCATTTACCCATGGCATGTAAAAACTCTTATGCACTGTAAATAATAAAGAATTTCTGGCTTGGAGCATTTTTCAGAGAGAAGAAAAAATTTAGGCACACATGAGAATAGTACTTTGCTCCACTAGTACTACCTTGCAAAGTTTCAACAAGCAAAAGGGTCAGTTTCCTCAGCAAATTACTTCCTTAGGTAAAAGAAAGACAAGTGTTAAAGTTTGTTTTGGCAGTGTAGGTAAGATAGACAACACAGGAAGCAGGGTTTTTCCATCTGTTAAGCTAGAGGGTAGTTCAAATTTCTGCCATGAAACTGCAAGAATGCAGGAATGACTCAAGCCCATATCAAAAGTTATTTGGAAAGCTAGTGCCCTAAGGCAGAAATAAACACACCATCCCTAGTTAATACACTCTAATGTATATTAGAGTCATGGTGTGGGGGTTGAGGGTAATCCATACTCTTCACTCCACAGCAATTAAATTAAGATCTCTGATGAAGTCTGAGCTCTTCCTCCTTTAAATCTAACAATTCTATGCACCTAGGATACAGAATTACTTTACTGTAACATCAATCTAACGCTTACAGCATAGGACTCATTAATGAAAAGAAAAATCCTGTAATATATTTTAATACTATCTGAATGGGGCTTCAAAGTTTCTAATAAATGAGACACACAGGTGTACATAAAACTCAAACCTATTAGAACTTTTGATATGTTTCCCTACAAGGATCGCCCAGGCTAAGCACAGACCCTAACCCAGGTTGGAAGCAAAATTAACAAGATATCCACAAGCAATATAAGCTACCTTGTTATAGAGGCTCACTGTTCAATGTTTTTTTAAAGAATACAGTGGTTTTAAGATGTGAAACACTATTGGTATAAAATTTAACAATGTTGCACCCTGAGAAGTAAAAAGCCAGCCTCCCACTCTGGCTTCCCCAATGGATCGGGCTGCAGGTGTGCATCACTGTCAAGTACTCTGGCAGGTTTAGTAAGCTACGGCACTTCACATTTCTTTGCTGACATCCATGGTGTTAACCACTAAATTACAAAGCTCTTTTAATGCTATCATCTTATATTCTTAACACCCAACACAATGCCTTGAGAAAACAGCAGGCACTTAACACTTCTTAAAAACTGAACTCTACCAATTCTTTAACACTTTTTATTATTATAGTAAAAGAAATGACTCCCAAACATGATTATTTTTAATGAATAGTTCTTTTTCTTTTTTTTTTTTTTTGAGACAGAGTTTCGCTCGTTACCCAGGCTGGAGTGCAATGGGACGCGATCTCGGCTCACCGCAACCTCCACCTCCTGGGTTCAAGCAATTCTCCTGCCTCAGCCTCCTATCTGGGACTACAAGCGTGTACCACCATGCCCAGCTAATTTTTTTGTATTTTTAGTAGAGACGGGGCTTCACCATGTTGACCAGTATGGTCCTGACCTCTTGATCCACCCGCCTTGGCCTCCCAAAGTGCTGGGATTACAGGCATGAGCCACGTGCCCGGCCATGAATAGTGCTTTAGGAAAAAAAGTACTGCCCCCGTGCTCAAATTGTATCCTTCATACTTGGCAACCTTAAGGTGACTCATATTTTTTTCCCTACCCATTAACGTCATACAAATGCTCCAATTGTTTTGACCATATCAAAACCTGTTAAGTGATGGTAGGGTACAGATTAAATATGAATTTTAATACTGTGAATAAGATAGTAACTCAGAAGCGAAAATATAATTAATCTCTCTCCACTTCAGATGGCCTCCTTTATTAGATAAGTGCAGAACAACTTACTCTTTTTGTTGGTATTTGGGCCCACAACTGCATTACATTCTTACACTTCTTTCTTGTTTAAAATTTTTTTTTTTTTTTTTGAGATAGAGTTTCACTCTTGCTGCCCAAGCCGGAGTGCAATGGCACAATCTCGGCTCACCACAATCTCTGCCTCCCAGATTGAGGTGATTCTCCTGCCTCAGCCTCCTGGGTAGCTGGGATTACAAGCATGTGCCACCATATCCAGCTAATTTTTGTATTTTTAGTAGACACTGGGTTTTACCACATTAGTCAGACTGGTCTTGAACTCCTGACCTGACATGATCCACCTGCCTCGGCCTCCCAATAACAGTTATCTTAAAAAGACAGTATGTTAATACGATAGAAGACTAATGCCCAAAATTAATTTTCATGCCCTAAAATTTCGTGGCAGTATTACTTCCAAATATGACATGTATTTTACTCTGTATCTCTAAGAATTAATATAAAGTAGGGAGAAATGGGGAGCAAGATAGGGTAAAGTGAGTCCTGCATGCTACTTTTGCCCTCCACCTAAAAGTGGTGGCATAGGTTTTAACAGTTCTTACATGTCATTTGAGGGCTGTTTCAGAATCCTCTGGATCATACACAGAAAAGTGAGATTTCTGTTGTTCACCTATAGTGTGTAGAGAGAACCCTTTTTACATGAAGGCCCAGATTCTTCCAAGGTATTTATGCCTACTAATACATAAGAACTCCAGGTTTAGGCCACTGGTATCAGCCTTTCAACTTCCACTCAAAAGTGGAGAATTTTGAGCTCATAAAAATTACCTCGGAAAGGGAGGTGTTTATACGACAAGGACATTAACCATGAAAACTTGACTGCTGACCTCACGTGCCTTCTCTCACTATGTAAAGAAACATACAGTAAAATGCTGCATCTATTAAAACCATTTTTTTCTTTAAAGCTGTATTGAACTCTTTCCCTTACCTAATATACAAATTTATACTTATATGAGCATTAGAGTATCCATTTTGGTCACTGAAAAGTTACTAATGAACTTCAGTTTATCTCTGTATTACAGCAGCCTTAAATTACTCTATAACTGTGACATGCTTCACTGGGATCATCACCTGATAAGCACTTCACTGGGCAATTCCACTAAAACCAAATGTGAAGATCTTACAAATTGCATGGCTAAATCAACAAACTCCTGATTGAGTCACAACATTGGGTTCAAGTTCTAGTTCTGACACTGGCAGTATGGCTTGGACATATAAAAAAAAAAAAAAGCAATGTAAATTTCAGTTCATGAACTTTTAAAACACGGTCACAAACATTTTTCTTCTAGGTTTGTAAGAATTAAGATAAATTTAGAAAGCAACCAACTTACAATAGACATTTAAGCAATGCTGCATTTCCAATATGTTTTTCAGGAACAACCAGAATCAAAATAACAGCTTAACCAAGAGTATATGAAGGGTACTCTGACAGATGCTTTCAAACAGCTGCAGGGCTGTCAGGCTGTAGAGAGGATTAGATTATTACCTATTGTAAAGATAGTATTTCTGTTTCTCAGTGAAATTACACGCCAGAAATTCTGGTTTAAAAGAATAGATGGATTTAACAATGACAATGCAGGAAACCTTCTTGAGCAGGTTGTCATGTCTGTCATAACCCAAGAAATGATTCCCCAAAGTAGGCATTCAGAACTGAAATTAAGAGTTTCTGTAGGTGTGGGTGAGATTCAGTCACATATGCATTTTAAAGTATCTCATATTCTACAGGAGAGAAGTTGTTAAATTTAACCTGTCAACTGGTGACAGGTGCTACACAAAAAAAGTAGTGTTAAGTAGAATAAAGAAGCTGCAGGAGTGCTTTATTTTATATAGGGTGGTCTGGGAAGGTTTCTCTGATTAAGGTGACATTGGGAAAATAAAAGTAGTTAAGCATGTCACAGATACGTCTGGGGAAAAAGAGTTACAGGTGCATATGACTGCCTTCTTGAAGGAAATCATATACAGTTTTCCCTCATTATCCATAGTTCCAGGACTCCCTGCAGATAACAAAATCTACAGATGCTCAAGTCCCTTATATAAAATGACGTAGGTAGGGGGAAGAGGTGGAGGAAAAATAAAAATAAAATGATGGCATATTACCTGCGCACATCCTCTTGTATACTTTAAATTATCTCTTGATTACTTATAATACCTAATACAATGTAAATACTACGTAAATAGTTGCTATACAGTACTGTTTAGGTAATGACAAGAAAAAAAACCGTACATGTTCAGTACAGACGCACTCTCTTTGTATTTTCAATTCACAGTTGGTTGAATCCATGGATGTGGAACCCAGAGATGAAGAAGGCCAACAGTGTAGATAATAGTTACAATTAGGTGACCTCTTCACAACAGACAGAATTTTATGTAATCTGAACCACTCAATGTTATAAGAGTAAATATTTTTGGAATGATGAACCCTTGTGGACCACTAGTAATCCACAGCACATTTTCTCTGGCAAGTTATTGTTGAAAACTCTACTAAGTTGATAGAAATTACCTAGAAGTTGTATGCCATTTCTACAGGTCAGATTAATTTATTGACATGTAAAGAAACAAAATGCAACATCAAGTGAATAAAAGTAGCCATTTACATTACTGATCAAATGTAGAATGCCACCAATAACATTTACCTTATTGTAAACTCTGTACATTTTCAAAGAAAAAATGATCTTGTATGT